TTATTTTACGATACAAGTGGAAAACAAGCTGATATTTACTAGTTTTTATTACGTAATTAAATTGACAAACTTTGCTAATCTACAGATTGAAAAAGCTCCAATTCCAAGAGCTTTCGTAAATAAGATAGTTGTAGGTTACGATAAGACGAAGCTATTCACAAAGTTTCAGACGGATTAATAATTTGATAAAAAAGAGTCTGAACCACGAACTACTATTTGTTAAGAAGATGTATACTGTAATTATAAGCGTATAATGTAGCGCACGACAGTAGCAATATCCATTGGCCGTTTAATAATAGCGTCATATTTTGGCGAAGAAACACAACATAATTATCCACCAGTTTCTTTTCTGAGGAATTAGGACCAGGAGATTTAAAGTAAAACCCAGCCGGGGACGGACAGCTTACAAAATCGTTTCCTTGTTCCAGAATATGTTCAACCAGACTCAAGGCTCAAGAAGTGGCCTAGGAAGCGTCGGCTAACATGCCACCAGCAATCCAAATTTAAATTAGCAACTCCTCAACGCTCCTTTGTCACAATCAAAATCATCCATAAAGACCTTAATGTTCCATATGTTTCCGATTTGGCCCAATCCAGATACCTATCCTTCCATAAAAAACTGCAGAACCATCCGAACCCTCTTGTTTCAAACATTGCTTCCTCCTCTATCCCTGACAACCCTCCGAGGCGTTTGAAAAGAAGATGGCCTCGGGATCTTCTAATATAGAACTGTAATTTGAGTTCTACCAATGGGTAGTTTCTCTTCATATTTTACATGTCATGTTACCAATGTCACATTTACCTGTTGTATTTTTAATGTAATACAGTTGTAAATTTCAATAAAATTATTTTTAAAAAAAATAGCAACAACCCTCTAAATTATGATTTCAAATATATCATCATCCAGCGCAAGAAATATCACCATTGAATTAATTCTAACTTATTAACCATAATTTACATAATTTGTCTCTCCTCTGCCTCATTCAACAGCAATGATGTTTCTTTTATTGCCTTCTTTACCTTGGTCGATTCAATATATTTTATGTAGACTTTATTTGATTCATTCTCTACATTCACATTGAACACTCCCCTCTGAGCAATTTCAGCATTCAGGTCTTACTCCCTTCTGCTTCTGAATAGTGTTGCCCAAAATCGGTCTTGGTATTGTACTTTGCAAGAACAAGACCAAGGCCGCCTAACTGTGTAAGACCAAGACCAGGGCTGGTAAAAAAATCTATTTTTTGAATAAAAAGTAAGGCAAAATAGTTACTAATACTTGATAATCTTAGTTACTATATGTAAATAATCGATATAACCAATATACTTTTGCATTTAAATCTTCTAATTTTTAATTCGGGTTTCTCTCATCTAAAAAATTACAGTAACATTTCTACAGTAATAATCTAATAATTATCTGCAAGACTGTTGCGAGACTCTTGCACAAGACCAAGACCATGACCAAGACTGAGTTTGCAAGAACAAGACTCGTTTCGGCTCGTATTTGGGCAACACTACTTCTTGATGTGGGAAGGCATAACTCTATAGTATTTCTAAAACACTCTGACATTTGAAATGTTTTTTTTTCCAAAATATTTTAAATTACACATCATTTTAGAGTTTTACTTTCACTGCCCTTTTATAACCAGCTAATTTATCCAAAATAGTGAAAACAATCACTAGTTTATCGGAATTTTTCAATATTGAAGTTCTTAATTGTGTTATCGAACGAGGTATTTGTAAAAATATTATCGATTTTAAGATATCGCTATCACACACTGATTTATTGTAACTTTTCGGTTTTCTTCTATTAAAGGATGAAATTTTTTTAGCTAACACGTTCACGAGTGGTCTCTATATTGAAAATATTTTTTAAATCTTCTGATTACTGCAAAATTTAATAGGATACCAACCAATAAAAGCTACATTTTATTGGTTGGTAGAGGAGATTTCATACTTCCAACTGCTCTGGCTTCCTTTGTCAATAACATTCCAATACCATTCATACAAGCATATGCTTTTCAATTTATTTTCTCTCTGTGCTATTTTCTCCTTCCTGGAATATATTTTATTTTTATTATCTCTTTTTCCCTGAAGTTTTTGGTAACGTGATGTTCTGCAGCGTTATATATGTTTTATATTTGGCTCCTGATTTCACTTTCAAGACGAAAGTATCTTCTGGTTAATATTATCTTCAAATATGTTTCTGTCCGATGAAATATATGAAACAAGGTGGGGAGCCGAGCAAGCTAACGCATGTGCAAAACATTCGTTGCCAAGAGCAACCTGTGATAAGCCAAAGCTTGCTAGTTCTAATCCCGTCGCCGTGAGGCTTTTTAACTCTCGCATTAATCGTCCGCCTTACTCCTGGCTCGGAAAAAATTTATTATATCATAAATGCCGAGAAATGGGAAGAATTCAATTTTATTTTATTTACTATTTTTAAACCGTTACGCCCATGGTTCATCTATCAGATTCTTCATAATGATGTTTATAACCCTTGCACTCATTTATTTACATGAATTAATTAGAATAGAAAAGTTAGAAGTGATGACACTTTATCTTTAATTTTAGACTCAGCGACTTATCATTTTGAGAAAGGAATAATTTAATATTAAATAATTATTTGATATTTAATAGCTGCCATCGTGTGGTAGATGTAGTCTCCTCTGCATTGGAGCGAGAAATGTACTGCACGGGAGTCTTTCTCGAAGTTGAACAGGCGTTTTATAGAGTCTGGCATCCGGGACTGATGTACAAACTCCGTAAATTCCTACCACCTACATACTTCCTCATTATTCGTTCCTACCTCACTGATAGATACTTCAAAGTCAATCATAACAGTGCTTATTCATCTCGTTTTACTCAGTCTGCCGGTGTTCCTCAAAGTAGTATCCTAGGTCCTATCCTTTACACAGTTTATACAGCTGATATCCCAACCCAATCCAACATTGTCATCACCACCTATGCCGATGACACGTGTATCCTATCAGTTAATAACGATCCATCTATTGCATCCCAAACTCTTCAATCATATATCACAGGTCTTGAAAAATGTTGTCAAAACTGGAGGATTAAAATAAATTCCATCAAATTACCTTCATTCTTCGTCGTAAACCTATGACTTCCTGTCCTATAGTATCCTTCAACAATAGCCCTCTTATCCCTGTTGACCAAATCCGATATCTACTACTCCACCTTGACAAACGACTCACTTGGAAACCCCATACCAGACTGAAACGACTAGAAACCGCCCGACGTTTTCGACTACTGCAGCACTTACTAGACAAACGCTCTAAGCTTCAATCAATTACAAACGACTCATATATATGACAATAATAAGACCTATTTGGACTTGCGGAATTGAGCTTTGGGGCTCCACTAAACCATCGAATTCCTCTCGTATCCAATCCTTACAATCCAAAATCCTTCGTAAAATCCTTCTTACTTTGTCATCAAATCATCCATAAAGACCTTAATGTTCCATATGTTTCCGATTTGGCCCAATCCAGATACCTATCAGTCCATAACAAACTGCAGAACCATCCGAATCCTCTCGTTTCAAACCTCGCTTCCTCCTCGATCCCTGATAACCCTCCGAGGCGTATGAAAATAAGATGGCCTCGGGACCTTATAATATAGAACTTTAATTTGAGTTCTACCAATTTCTCTTCATGTTGTATATCTCATGTTACCAATGTCACATTTACTTATTGTATTTTCTATGTAATACAGTTGTAAATTTCATTAAAATTAAATTTAAAAAAATTTAATAACTATTTCTTTGTTTAGTTAGTTAATATTTAGCCTTTTTGAAATCATGAATTAGATCTTATTATAGTTAAATGAGATGTCAGAAAACGAAAAAATAACACCAATAATATTGACGTTATAATATTGCTGATTTTATATTAAAGTAAATTAGCTAAATTATTATAATAATTAGTAATTACAGTAATAACTATGTTAGTCATGAATTCTCTTATTGTTAGGTATATTATAAGAAAAGCACACTACAGGCCCTACTCCACTTTATTGTTGTCTTCTTCTTGCTTTGAATATTTGATATTTTGGTTTATATCATATCAGAAAAACTCTTATTTCCCTTTCCTTTTCAGCCAACAGTAATAACCCAACTGAAGATCTTAATATGTTCTTTCCTCTGGATATCTGCTTCCCTTGAGGTTATGCAAGGTTTGGGGATAAGATGATGGAGGTAGAACTGAAAGAAAAGCAACACAATTTATTTAGCCATTGCTGGGTTGTAAAAGTTTGTTTCTTCATACAAATCGATGATATTAAGAGATATTTTTCAAGAACTTAAAATTATAACTGATATTAGTAAAACAACAAATTATACTTAGACAATATTTTATGATTAGCTTTCGACTGTGAGTTGGAAAAAGATTTTTCAGGCAGCCAAAGGTTTTTAAAGCCGAAAGAAAAGAAAAAAAATGAAACTTCCAAATAAAATAAAATTTCCACGAAGTGAACCCTAAATCATCTCTGACAATTTTTCAGGAAGCTCGAAAAACTATATTTTCTATTCCAATAATGAAATCAAAATCTATTTTTTTTTACAGAATAAATTAAGGGATTCTTTATTTGTACCACACATTTTCGAAAATCAGTGATTATCTCAATAGTAATTAAAAAACATCCACACTTAAATATAGGACCCCTTTTGTAAAGAATGAAACTTCAAGGCTTATTTTAAAACAAAAAAAAAGAAGAGTGTATAATTAGGAAAAAAATAATTTTAAAAAATTGTTAATTAAAAAAATAACTTTTTGTTAACAATAATGGCACAGTCCAAAATTATACGACTAATGACAGCAGCTCCCTGGAACGTTATCATCATTTCTTTACATAACGATTCATGACAACCAACTATCGAACAACAAATACGAAGTCTTTATTCACGATAACCGAGATGGCCACCTGCATTAGAAGCTGATGAAGAGAAGCTGGATTAGAGATCTTACCTGATTTACAGAAGAAAACTAGTCGAGGAAGAGGTGCCGCTGGGTGCTCACCTTTCTCATGCCTGTCAATCCATTAGCATGTATGTTCCCATCAAATCTGCTGATTGTCATTCTCATAACAAGTGCAGATAAAGGTATTAATATAAAATAAAAAAAACACAATCGGATTTATATCATGTTTTTAAATAGGAATAGATACTTATCTCGATGTATATAAAATTAAATTAGGAATAATTTTAAATTATTAAAAATAATTTTATAATTAATAATTTTCTAATTTAAAATAGCTATTTAAAGATTGACGATTGCTCGTGGTTAGAGTTCTAATAGAGTCTTTTTTGTCAATAGAAACAATTGGAAGAGAAATCGAGAGATGAATCAAGGCAAAATAAGATTTTTGCCGATGAAGTCTGATTCAATATGTCGTTAAGATGAAATGTGCAACTATCGGTAAAGGGCGGATTCTAGACATCATATTCCAGCGAACACTTAATCAATTCCAGACACGTCTGTTCTCGGTTACTGGACAATTCCTCAGGTGAAAACTTATTTTATTTCATCCTTCTCATCACTCTACGAAAATCTCTTGTTCAGCTATTTATCAATAGCTTAGGTCAGGACTTTACTCTTTATCTTTTTACGTTATTGATTGTTTGTTATATTTTATGATAAATAGTATTTATTCAATTGATATTCATCTACAACTAATAGTTTTTTTTCTCTCAATTCTTTTTCTACCACAAGACGATTTAATAGAAAATCAATTTTTTTTCACTTTTTCCATTTTTTTTTCTTTAAAGTTAATTAAATTCGTTCGTTCTTAAATCATTATACAGGTATGAATGACTTTTTATTATTATTTTCTCATTTCTTTTCAACATTAATTTACTTTTTGGTTTCTACTTATTTTGTTCTTAATACTTATATATATATATATATATATATATATATATATATATATATATATATATATATATATATATATATCCTTTTATTTGTGAAATTCGTATATTCTTTTACTTTATTTATTACTACTTATAACAATGATTATTTTATATATTTGTTTGTTCAGCTTTGATTTATATTATTTATTTATTTTTATTATTTAATTTCTCTGCCTCTTAAGTTGTTTTATTCAAAAAAAAAATCGATTTTTTTTTTTGCTTCTTTTTATTTATATATTTTTTCATGAATGCATATGTTGTATGAATGGATACCATCAGCAATTTATTCAATAAATAAATAAAAAAGTTAATTGGCTTTTTACTATATTGGTAACTTAGACTAACCCAATACTGAGACATATTATGTTAACAACTGAGACATATCAAGTTAATGCAGATAAAACTAAATATGTGATAATAACAAGAATATTTCACCTCCAATAACAGAATCTGCAGGCGGGAAATCGTTGCAGAGAGTAGAAATATTCAAATAACTCGGTTCCACAATAACATCTTTTTTTCCTCGTTAACTCGGTATTTATCTCGGTATTTCTGAAATAAGAGGAGTTATCTTAGAGGTACGACCAGAGATTCATTCCGTGGGTCTATCACAGTAACATCAATGAATGTGACCAATGGTCAGAAGACCTACGTATAACAAGCGCCAACAGGTTTTTTTTCTCTCTTTCAGAGATATATAAGTCTCGAGAAATCTCAAATTAAGGGTGTGCCTAACCAGCATCCTTGAAAAAATTATTGAAAGATTTAAGAGAAAATCCCCCGCACGATAAGCGGAACGATATGAAATTAGAGTACTAAATCATGGAGGAGAAAGGCCAATAAAGAACTGCTTGCAGAAACTAGTTAATCAATATATCCTGATATGAAGGTAAGGAGGTAAGGTGGTTGGGGCATGTTGTTCGGAGTAATCTATCATGTAGCCTCTACATTTCAAAGAGGTCTCAATTGTAGGCAAGACACCAGATGGAAGACCAGAAACCAAATGGTTAGATCGATTCAAAAAGACGCAATAGAGTTGATTAGAGATAAACGGAAAAATAATAGATCTTTAACCACTGCAATGCCAACAGAAAAAAAAATGTATATATATTAAAAGTTATAAAGTTTTATTGCAACAATTCGCTCAATAGTTTTTAGGAGAAATACCGCTCAATTTTCACGTTATATAAGATAAACTTGTATCAAGAGATCACTTTAAAGCCTCAATACCCGAGAGATGGCGCTATCGAAGGCTCTATCCCAGCCGGCAGATAAACAGATTTAAACAGGAGCCTCAGTCGGTCTAAAGTATCCTTTATAACCCCCACTCCTCTACTCCCCCCCACTTCCATCCGGTAAAAGCTCCTTCAAACATTCAAAGGCCTTGTTGGAAACCTTATTCATTTTATACCGTTTTCCATTTTTTACCTGCCCTGCCTGGTTTTAACAACTCCAAAAAAAAAAAAAAAAAAAAAAAAAAACACTTCAGCTTGTGCCTCGTTCAACTCTTTCATTAAATTTTACAATAAATATTTAAAACGAATATGAGAAAAAAATGGGAAGTTTCTCCTTCTCTCTAGAACTACAAATAATATATATTTTTTCTCTATTTATATTACCGGTCTTCCCTATTTCATTCATCACTCCCACTATTAATTGTATACTGTTGATTTCCAAATCTCCCAATCGTTCCAATCTTCTGAGATGACTGAGGCTACCGAAAGCTACAAGAGTATATCTACTGAATCAACAGGTTTATAAAAATGAAATAATTGACGATCAATGATGACTAACTATGACTATTCTCGTCGTTTCCGGACATCTCTTATCCTTTAAAAAAACAGAAATATGCTTCTATTCTCCTTCGAATTCTTCCACTTTGTCTACGGCTGTTTGGTGTTTGTAGGGCTGTCTACCAGACTGGAGATGAGATTGAAGAGACTCATGAAGTGCTTAAGAAGATTCATCTTTGGTACACCGAGTTGAAGAGGCTCTTGCTCCTGAAAGCATTTCCTTCCAGGAGTTTTATATCTTCAAGTATTCCGAAACAATACTTAAAAAAATGTGTCTACATCCTAGAGCTCCTTACTCTGCGTTCCTCTATCCATGCTCTAAATAATATATCTCAAACTATCCATCTATGCAGGGGAATGTCTCAATTCTTAATAATCAAACTTCAGAGATGATTCTAGACAAAATTTCCAACAAAAAACGTTCATTTCATACTCGGTCCGATTCCGAAGAAAATTGGAGTTAAGACCTATTTTGTGTCTTCCTTGCTCAAAACTATTCCAAATTAAATTTTAAGTATATCATTATAAAGTAGACAACGTTCTTTGGAGAACTGCAGCAGCTTTGTTACTGCAGCAGTAGAGCTATCGTATTAGACCTCCCGAATGTCCTTTATATCATTCACCTTACTAAATTTAATAACTGATTTCTCAGAAAAAAATTGTCTACTTTGCTATTGTGTACTTAGAATTAAATTATCTGAATTCCTTTGTATTAATTCCTTAAAAAAAAATTGGTCTTAATTCATTTTTCTTTCGGATTCGGATAAAACATCAAATGAGCTTTTTGTTGGAAATTTCGTCTAGAATCACCCATAAAACCACTTCCTTCAGTAAACTCTCAGTCATTCGTTCAACCTCTTTTTAAAATTCCTTACTTATCTTCATATGTCATTCCATGTCTGAAAATTCCTTCAAACAACTCCTATTCCACCAACTACTTCATAATCAAAAACTTCCCCAACCATGTAAGAATTATTTAATTCTGTTCTTAACTATATTACTCCTATTCTGCTATTAATTACTATTATCACTCAGTATGGACAAGAGCTGTTTTTTTTTATTTCTTCGTTTCAGAAAAATGTGTATAACTTTCTAAACTAAATCATTATTCTTAGATGACTTTATTGAACTAGTTCCAACTTTTTTTTTCACATCATTTCATTTGCATTTATTACTTTTTTCTTCATTTCTTAAACTTTTTTTTAAATACTGTACAAAATTGTTTTGCCATGTTTTCAGTTGAACTATTATTTTTTTTTTTGCCTAGTTTGTTAAAATTCTTGACATTAAAGCTCAAACCTTGTTGGTAACCTCTTAGTTAAGATTTAAAAGGAATGAAAGTTGTTTGATGTTGATAAAGAAGAAACAATTCGAATACTTAAAAGTAGGAGTGAGTCCTGAACTTAGGGAGGAATTAATTAATTTTCTATCTTATTTTGCGAGGAACCAGTATAGAATTTGAATTTTCAAAATAGTTTGTAGATTATAAAGTATCTCGAATTAATATTCATCACAGGTTTTGAATAAAGCTGAAAAGGTCAAGTAGAATCCTATGTATTTTGTGATTTTAAAACGTTTGTCTGAATTAATCCTTAGTCGTATCAACTTAAAGAAAGTATTAAGTTGATCAATTTTTATTAATTATTATCACAATTTCAATTAATACTTTGTATTAGTGTCATCACGAATTATTTGTTATTATCACGAACAATTAGTGAATTTATATCGCTTTAATGATTTTAGTTATTGTTAAATATATAAAAAGAAAAAAACCACTACCAACAAGTTAAGAAAGAAAAGGGAATAAAAGTGAAATAGAAACCTCTAAGAGATTTCGGCTTGTAGAAGATTTAAAATTGAACTAAAGGAAGTTGCACTTTTAGATAATTTATTCCTTTTAAAGATTCAAAATGCTATCTCGCTCCGTCTGTATTATTCAAAGGAAGGCTATTTCCAACGCCTTTTGTCTGTTATCTCCAGTATTCTTGTTAATTTTGAAAATAAATTCTCAACAATGATGGTCGACTATTTGGTTTAGTTTCTTGAGGCAGTAATTTATGTCTTTCTCTACCAAGACAAAGGTGGTGTAAAAGATTCTTGAATAATTCGCTACACAATTACCCAGGACTGTTTCAAAGTAATCTACGTTGGCTATCTCATCTGGCATATTGCAAGATAATAACTTCCTATTTTTTGTAAAGGTGTACCGCATTTTATGCTTTATTATTTAATTTGAAAATGTTTAGTGAACTGTCTGATTTAACATTCCGAACCTAAATTACATTTATTTTGAGTTTCATTTATTTTAGTTCATATAATCTTAAGACGTACATATATATTTTTTTCAAACGCCACGAGCATAATTATATAGAAACTATTAAACATTAAAAACTAAAGAAAAATATCCTGGTTAAAAATACTTTTATTTAAATATTTAAAAAAAGACAATTATAAACAACTGAAACACCAATAAAAAAAACGCTTGGAATCTCGATTAAACATGTCCTCTTACTACAAGTTTTCAACTATAAGAATGGCATCGATTTATTTCTTAATAACTATTTGTATTAATTTTAATTTCCTCATTAATTAAAATCCTTATTATATTATGTATTTATTTAATTAAATAAATGCATTTATTAATGTATTTATTATTTTACTTCTATTGAATTATTTTCCAACTATCAAGTCAAACCATTAACTTTTTTTTTACATTCTCTTCTATCTGAAAAGTTATCACACTTTAAAATAATCAAATATATATTCAGATAAGAAAGTAATTCAAGATATGAGGCCATCGTCAAAATGCAGAAAGTTTGATTGGACCCTTATCTTAATTATTAACTGTAAATTGACCAGACTGGAGATAATATGTAGGGCAATGCGTGACCCTACCTACCCTGGCTTACTTATTAGGGTTTAGGGTTTCCCCAAGGGTTTGCCTTGTTCCCTGGGGCACAGAACCCAAGCTCAGCCAGAATCAATGACGGTTTCTACATCTAATATTTATCCTAGTGAACTGTAAAGGGTATGGTTTCAGGCTATAATCTATTAATTGTTGTTTGTATGAAAGGTATATGGCGATGGTTTTAAAAATAATATATGATTTTACTATATCAAAACATAAAATAATATGAAATCATGAATTTCATTTTTGATTTCATTATCTCGGAAATACCAAGCAATGAAAAATATCTTAAAAAGAGAATTCTAGACGCAATTATTTTGTAACCAAAAACATAAAATAAACTATACATATATCATGAAAACCTCATTAATAAAATAAAAATATATTTAAAGAATATTTTTAATTTTAAGAAACTATCTTTTATTACATACAGCAATTGAGAGATAAATTAAATAGAAGAACAGCATTGAAGAGAACACATTTAAATAACACATGCTATGTATTGTAAAGACCGCCGGTGGAATTCATTTAATTATTTTAAAGGTGTAAATAAATAAATATCATAAGTGCTCACATCTGGCGGTACCTGAGCGAGGGTAACGACCCACGAGGGGAACCTTTTATGAGCGGAAATAAAAACCCAAAACCCCGACAACTGTCTCATGCCTGAGTGTTTAAACAGGATCCAAATTACCATTAACACCTTCCAGAAAGACCTTTCACACCTTCCACCAGAAATACGTAAATCTGTACCTGCTGGAATACCTTGACCTGGGGGAGAGGGCGTGGTCATCCCTTAGGCTAGGAATATTCAGCCAATCAGAAAAGAGCACAAAAAGAGAGGGAGATGAAGAAATGTGGGAAATAGAGAATTGGGACTGAACACTGAGAGCTGGGACTCAGGCTAGGACACTTGATCAGGAGAGGCGGAGAGAGCAAGATATAGACTGATAGCTATAGTTTGATTTTTTCTTAATTCATTTCGATTTACCTTATCTGGCACTCATTATGTAAAGTAATATAGTGTGCTATGTTCCTGGCTTCGCGTTTCTACGGCGAGTAGGGGGTTCCAGGAACTGCATTTATTTGTATTTAATACTTATATTGGTATTTATATCGGTCCCAGAAGGGAACCGATCTACCGAAAAAGCTGGGACTTAGGCGAGGACTGATAGCTGGGACTCAGGCTAGGGGACTTCAAGTTGGGACTCAAGCGAGGACGGTTGAACACTGGGAGGAAGACGGAGGCTGAGGAGAGCGACATGGAAGGAGACTCGAAGATGATGATGAACCAGCTAGGTAATAACCCTCATTTAGTTATACAGATGTAAACTTGTGTTGGCAACCATAAATCGTTAATTAATAGAATCAATAGAATACATGTAGCTTTAATCAAGCATCAAGCATTCTCCTCTAGTCTGATTCTCTAATACCATTGTATATATGTTTTGGTTATTTAAATTTGTAAATATATTAGTTAGTAAACCATCTTAGTACTTTTACCATCTACTCTGGATGCCACCAATTAGTAATTGAAACAAATAATAAATTTAAAACACGATACCTCTAGAAAAGAAATCCAATAAAAATTATATGGTTCATTCTAGGATACTACAGTAGGGGGTCTGTGGTATCTAACCTTTTAATACAG